TCCTGGCATCCCTGCTGGAGCAAACACGTCGGGTACCCGGCTGAGCAGTCTCTGCACATCAGGCTCCTCCAGTCCTTGGTTTTTATAGTGCTAATGTGAATTGTATGGAGGGACCACATAAGCCATGAAACGTGTTGTTTATTAATCGTTGTTAGTGATTTGTAGACTGTAACAAAACTAGCTCCTTGTTTAAAAGCATTATTTATGCCACAGATTGACCTGACATATCAAAGTAATATTTCCTGTCATAATCTGATGTTGCGTTTGGAGAAAGTGCAGCTGTATTATATTGTAAATTGACTTTGTAATAATTTTATTGAAATTATTTTTATAAAGCTGGTCTGTAAATAAAGTTACCTTACTAAACTGAAACTTTCCACACTTCTCATGAACTGAAACACTAAAAGTACCAGTCGGGAGTTTTTCCATGTTTTGAACCACATAGTTCAACTGCCAATAGAAAAAAAGCCCATAGATATCAACATCTCATACAAATGGAGAGACCCTCAGAGGATCAAAATCCAAGCATTAGCTAGAGACAGCTTTAAAGGCCTGTCACCCCACACAGACATGGTCACTTGTTGGCCTGAGGCTGTAGGAAGGATTGGTTTTGAGATATCCCCATATTAAATAAAAAAAAAATAATAATAAAATCAATCAGTACCCCATGCGTAGTACTGGCCACCTGAGAAGGACACGCTCAGTTTTAAGACACATTTAGATACCCAAAGTAACCAGCTCCGGTGGTGCTAACAGGAGGTTTGTACAAGGCAAAGCTGATGAATATTCAGTGGCAGCAGCCTTCTTCTCCTGGGGTCACAAGCTTATCCAAAATCCCATAAAACACACAGGGCTAGATACAGGGCATGAGGAGCAGATGCGCGAGCAGAGAGCGAAGACACCAGCAGTGATTCGCGTGTAGAGAACAGAGCAGAGACAGACAATGATTAATAGTTACTCGCTGGATATGTAGCCATTTATGACAAGAACTATTATTCACTACCTGTTGAAGCCTCTGAACAAGTTATCACGGCGAATGTCTTCTTCAAAGCAATTCTTAATCCCACCAGAAGCAGGCCACCCTTCCGCTCCATTCATATGCTTCTCTCTTTCTCAATCTCTACAGATGTTCTAAGAATACACTTTAAGAAGTTTCTCCACATGTTGCTGCTGTACTTACTCCCAAATACGATGTGGCTACCAGATCCTTCCTTTCGCAATAAAAAAAGCAGTAAGAAAAAGCTGTGACAAGGTAATTTCCACTTTGCTGTGTCATTCTAGGGGGTTGTGCTTCACACCTAAAGTTATACGACCTGCTCCGAAGCTTTGGCAATGCTGTTTAAGGCAAAAATAACTGCTCTGATTGCTGGAATTTCTCCTATTACCCTGCAATAAAAACATATCTGAAATACAAGTACTTTGTAGCAGTAAGCACAACAAAAATCCCGTACTAAATGTCTGCAAATAACCTGAACCGCAGAACAATGAAAGATTACCTCAGCTCATCTGCTGCCAGCCAGAAAAACAGATCCTCAGTTACAAAAACACACTCGAGGTCCCAACATTGTGCCAGGGCAAAAACCATTCTCAAATCCTCTTTCTGTACAGCACCCTCCGTTAAACGGAAACAAATGGCCGTGAAACGCAGCAGAAGAAAGCAAAATCCTCAGAAAGCTTCCCAGAAGTCCTTCCCGGCTGCTTTCCTTACTGTGCCTCACACCTGAAACACTTTGTCTTGGAAGCAGCCTCTTCCTATCTCCGTTCGGCTTCAGCAGGTGACCACATGCCAGTCCCTTCATTCTCAGTGACTCAGCTGAAAAACTCTCTCTCATTTCCAACCCCTTCACTCATCACTTGTCACCTCTGTGGGCAAGCAAAGCTTTCCCAGTCTAGTCCCCTGCTGCCCAGAAGCAGGAGTAACCTCCATTAACATGCTCCTCTCTTTCCTTCCTGGCTTACCCCTATTTGCCTGGTCAGAAAACACCAAGGAAGCAGTATTTTGGGGGAGTTTGGGTTCCAAATATGGGAAAGCCCCTGTGACTTTGCTCTTGTTCTGCAAGCATAGAAAGGAAGGAGAGAGCACGAAGACACACGTGCCTGGAGCACGTTACTGAGCTCAGTTCTGGTCTCTAAGAAGCCTCTGCCGAATGCGGCATCCACATCCTCGCTCGAGCTCCTCTGCAAGGTGGGGCAGGAGTAAATCTGCCCGATGCCTCACGCCAACACAAGGTCACGCATAGACATTTGCATGTTTAGGAGCTGAGTTCACACTAAGTGGCACAGAGTGGTTTATTGCTCTTTCTAAACAGCTCTTTTTTAGCTAATAAGATAAGAAGCTGATTATACAGCCAAACAGTTGCCCCAAGTAATCAAAAAAAAATAAAATCCAGTTAGCTCCCAAGCGCTCGCAGGCAAGGGGCCAAAGTCTGCTATCAGCCTGCTGGTGCCATGAGGCTGAGCGCTGTCTGTGAGCACCAGAACAAGGCCCTTTGTCTCCACGCTGCTTTGGAAATTCATCCCCAGCAGCTTATCCCCTCACTTCCCTTCTGCCCTCAGCAAACACTCAGTCCTCAAGCGCGGTTCTCAGCCTGCTGCAAACCAACCTTTGCATGCCCCCAAAACAAATTACACACAGCGCAGTTAAGTCACTACACAAAGCGAAGCATTTCGCCCTCTTCCAGCCTGAAATTTCCAAACCTGATGTTCACAGCAACATCTGCTGGTAGAATAACAGAAATACACAAAAACGAACTGGCACAGTCGTGGTGAAACCTTCGGTCGTGGGTATGTATCGCTTCTCCTAAACCTATGGCTGTACCATTTCTTTCCTTCTGTTAGCAGCACTGAGTTGCAAGTGGTAACACACCATTTTAACACATAAATAGTAATGTCACAAGTCTTAAAAGAATTAATCATGTGGCTTTGTAAATTGTTGGTAATACTCTGTTTTTTGACTCAACTCATTATCATCACATAGGTCACACATTTATCATGTTTATCACATATTTGTCCTTAAATAAAGGAGACTGAAACACACAAGCTCTTGCCACATCTTAAGCACAGAATTCATTTCTGGCTTAGGTATCCCTCCATAATACACCATTTTTGTTAATAAATACTGAATGCAGGCATTTAATTTGAGGGCTTAACATCTTTAAAAAGTCCTTGGAATAGTTAGACAGCTATTGCTACTTATTTATCGCTATTACTTGTACTTGAAGACAAACATACTATTGCAGTAGCGTCTTGTTGCAACAAATACTGTGAGCTTTTCTACTTTGACTAAATCAAACTTCCTTTTGTAGAGGTACGAATATTATTGGCTTTTTAAACCACAACAGTAAATCGTACCAAGTTTAGCAACACTATTCTAGGTAAAGCTAACAACATCAGCAAAATTAGAGAACCACTACAAAGCTTTCATATCTTACATCTGATTCTTTTGCTGCGGAATGGGATTCATTTCACCCCCATTTATATTTTGGAGTGTTGCCAATGATACCAATAGAAAGGATAAGAGCCCGGTAACCAGTGCCTCATATCATGGCTTTATAATTTGAAGTCCATTAGTGAGGTGTACTAACAAGTACAGATGTATTTCCTGCCCTGTGGGTCATCCAATCTATAAGGAAGCTTCCCAAGTCCACAAAGTTCAGTAAATTCACATATTCTTGAAGAGTCTTCTTTGATATAGTCCGATATTAGATTGTGTCTAACACATTTTACCATGTCTGCTTTATATATAAATTTTTTTGCATAGAATGTGGGGTTTTTGTATGTATGCCTCATACAGCTCAACTGACCTAAGGGTGAGCCTGCTGCAGGACTAAATCCAAAGTTTCCGTGCGTGCATACCTTGAAGGACACTTTTGACAATGGTGTCAGCGTGATCAGCCAGCAAATCTGCTTTAGCAATTGCAGCCAAGGAGAGATAACTCGACATGTTTCTGCACAGTTCCTTGTTGCCCCTCTGAAGAAATTTCACCGCCACTGGGACAGCCAAGGCCATTACTGGAGGTCGATTGTAATTCTATTAAAAAAAAAAAAAAAGCACTGAAAAATAAGCAGCTGAAAAGAATTATTCAAATAAAGTCTCATGCTGGTCAGAGTAGAAAAACAAAAATAGAGGGGAAAAAAGAAAAAGAAAAACTCGTCAAGAAAGGTTATGTTTTGGTAGCACCACTGAAGGCAGACTTCAAAGAAAGGGCAAGTAAAGAAATTTAAAACTACCGCCCCAGGAAACGCTAATAACATACCTATTTTTTTTAATTCTGCGAGAGGAGAAAAAAAAAACATTAAATGCATGAGTTAAATGTTAACTGCCAGGACACTTATTACACAGCACTGTTTTCTGCAGTTATTTGTATATGTGAAATTGTGTGCACAAACTATACACACCTATCACCCACCAAGTGCCCATACGAAACTGCCCTTGAAACTAGTAGGATATGTCTATGTGTAACATTCTCTCTGGAGCCTCCTTAATCAGTGCTTTTCTCTCCTTTTCGTTCCATTTTGAACATCTCTTTGAAACCGGAGTACGTCATTGTTTTTGAAAAATAATTCCGCCCTATGATTGCATTTAATTAGCATCTGAAATCACAGGCAACCACTGGAACCCAGATGTTTTGGAGAGCAACAAAACAGCACAAAGAAAGGCAGCCCAGGCTTAACACGTGCTCTTTCTGAAGAAGCACTGGAAAAAAAAAATTAGTTCAGGCCTGAAAAAAACCAAATCTGTTATCCCATATACCCTGTTATGGCCTAGGCTATACAAAAAATGAATAGAGAATTGCACAGCAGCATGTTTAAATCAACACAATGCCTTGTCACGTTGGGCTGAGAGGCTGAGTAGGAGCCAAATTCTGCTTCCAAGTTATACTCTAGGACTCCAGAAAGAATGGGAAGATAAGGTTTGGCTTTCTGACTAGGATTTAAAAGATTTAAGAAAATTCCAAAGAATGTTTGGGGCTTGGGGTTTTTTTCCCCCTTCAATAAATATAGAATACTTAGTTAAGAAAAGGCTTGCTTATTCAGATGGAAGGAGAAAGGTTTCGTTTGTTCCATTATAAATAACGGGGCATGAATGTACGTGTATGAAAATGTGAAGGTGACAATGAAAAACAGATTTCAATAATATGATACAGCGATGTTTGCAAGCCTGGGGGACCTCCCTGCTGCTAATATCAACAGAAACATGCTGTGAGATTCGACCCAGCTGTCAGATATTCATTACTACTTCAACTATCCCCCACATACCGTATAAAAACTTATTTTATGCCTTCTTTCTGGTTTTTATGCAAAACAACTTGCTGATAATAGCTCCGTTTCAGGGAGCAGTAAAATGTACTTTTATAACTTTCTCATTTCACTTCAATAAACTTGTTTCTTGAAGTAATCGGCAACACAGGGCAATCCCCAAAACATCTGGATGCGAGCTGGCTTGATTTAGGCACACAGTTGCCGGCAGCACAAGCTGAAAGCTCAGACAACCCATTGCAGTAGCTTTTTCCTAAACTTCTCAAGACAAAGTATGATTTTTACAATGTACTGGAAGTTTGAGTTGTGCTGCTGTTGGCATCCAAACCCATTTATTGCCTCATCTCCAGGGACGTGAGACAGAAAGGGAGATATCCAACACTTCCCGGGATGCGTTGCCCATCAGAAATTGTGGTTCCTACCGAGGTCAGTCAGTCACAGGGGAAGGGAGCAGGGACGCAACCCCCTGATGCACCCTCCCCTCTTTTGGACTTTAAAGGCATTCAGCCAAACTAGATGAGGAATTTCAGTGAGTTTATAGAATGACCTATCATACGAGGGGCCAGGCGGTACCTTTCGGGGGACAGTGATGTACTTGTGCCTCTGCTGTTTGAATTTTTATACTGAAAGAACAAAACCAAAAAAACCCCCAAGCCACAAGCATCTGATTTAAGAGGCAGTGGTAAAAAAAAGCAACTCTGAAACAGCAGGTGTACTGCAAACACCACCCCAGAGCAGTCTGTAGAGAAAAGCGCTTTATTGCAACTGTTTCTCCATCTGACGTGGAGCCAATCTCCAACAATTAGAGCCACATCTCTGGAAACAACCCGGGTTTCTGCCACCAGTTAGATAACTGTGCACGTAGGTTTCTCTGTGAGTCTCTCCACTGTGTTTTACAGTCCTGTGTCTCCCACTTACACGAAACGCAAATACATAGAATTAATAGAAAATCAGTGAAATCTGGCACTAAGCAGTGAAGATGCTTCTAAAGATAAGGAAGCTGCCAAAACTTGTGGTTCACTGCAGTGGATGCCATATATGTGTCATAATATACATTAACACCTGGGGTCATCTTCTTGATTTCAAAAAAACACAACCACTCCCTCAGAAAACAAAGTGCAACGGCATTTTATAAAAAATAAAACTGAGCAGCCAACGACTGACCCTGCCCGCCCACCCTTGCTTTCAGCTCCGTCTTACCTGCAAGATACAGCTCATGATGTCGGACGCGATTTTGGCATGCGGCGTGTCCTCATCTTTTCCAGAGGGCTGCAGGTTGTGCTCTAGGCACGACTCCCAGAGAGCCACGAGGGCTCTGCCGTGCTTTTCAATGGACGCTGTCTCCCTGATGGCGGTGGTGATGCGCGTGATGCAGATTTCCACCACAGCCTGGTCGTTGTCGTTGGTCTGGTAGTCCTGGTTCGAAACGAAAAGACATTTTCCAGTGAATGCTCATCTCCTTTGAGGACCCCGCAAAACTAACCTGGAGACACAAAGTTTCTGTAAAGGTACAGTGTCTGTTTGCTCACTTCCACCTTTGCAATGAACATTTAGTGTCGTAAATGCAGAAATTAGGCAGCCCATCACATTAAACACAGAAAGTAGTCATCCCATAGACAACTCTGGTTTAGGTCTTAATTCTCATTACTGTAAAGGTATGGATTATGTTATCAAATGATTTTATTAGTCTGCTTTGAAGCATGGCCTTCTTAACCAGAAATTGCAGTCATGCACCTTAGAAACACTCGCACGAGCCTCTTCTCCTGTAATTGTCCTAAACCTGAAACTGGAATTGTTATATCTGTCATACATATAGTCAAAAGCATGGTCCCCAAAATCTCAAATCGCGTCAAGCCCCTGATGTAAACATGGTTAGTTTCAATTAGTATTGATGTATCATGAATAGAAGTTAATTAAGAGGGCTTTATCACAAATTCCTGTAATCCCCCATAATTACCAACACAGATGCCACACCAAAGGACCCTGAACATGAAATCCCTCAGTGTAACCTATTCCACCTTAAAAACCAGAAAAAAACACCACACCATCAACCCCCCCCGCTTTCTTTTGCATAAGGTTATGTGTTGATAAAGGGGTGAGCAAGGAAGGAGTCTCTGGCTGTGCACGACACGGAGAGCAGAGTGGTCCTGTCCTCATTGCTGCCAAATTCCACAGATTTCGGGAAAATCAGATCTCAAGCCCAGCTCGCTCGGACGGCAGGATCCCCGATCTCCAGAGCCCTCTGGTGGGAATCACTGCTGAGAGCTGAGCGCAGGCCGGCGGGTTTGTAACAACGTTGTGCCCTCGGTTCAGGTTTGCACGTTTCCAAAACTGATTTCTAAAATCACGTGCTATAAGAAGTGTCAGAAGAGTGCAGCTGTGGGAACAGGTACGTGTCCCTAACTGAATATCCACCCGAAGGCTCAGAAAAGGTTATTTTTTTTTCCCTTCAGCAGACTGGAAGCGGGAAGTATTAAGAGTTGTTTCTGTTTGGGGAGGGGGGGCAGAATCTTGAGTTTACCAAAACCCGTGAGAGCCTACCATCATTCAGCACGCTTCCTGCTGCAAACAGTATCTGTAGCTTCCTGTTAACCTTTAACATGCCTTAAATAACTACTTCATAAAAATTATGATAAAGGTGAACTTGAAATATCTTTAAAGGAAATCCAGCTAGCAGAAACTGCATTTGATTACCACATTTTCAAATCTTATCCTTTGCTTGGCATTCTTGGGTTTTTTAGAAGCTTAAATTGTGTATGTTCCCACCTTTTAATATTTTCATTACACATTTGATCTCACAATAAAAATTATTAAGGACAGTGTTTCACTCACCGCAGTTGAACTAATTATTCTTATTTGTTCAAGAGCTTCAGAGAGGCTTCCTTCGATTTCGGCATCCTCCAAGGAGAAAAGGTCCCCTGCACGTGAAAGGTCTTTTTGTGCCAAAACCAGCCCGAACAGATGATGCATGGCTGCGCTTGCTGCCGCTCAGCCGGACCTCGGCACGTACCATGGGCATGAACGAGTTGGATGAGGACAGAACAGGAACAATCATGTGGACTAACAATCAATTTTATGCAAAAAAAATAATTTGGGGTGCATTTAAGACTTCCTTGGCCCCAGTCTAAAAAAAAAACCAGTGAGTGGGACAATTAGCAAATGCATTAATTGACATATTCCAGTTTAGCAAAGATTTTTAAATGCTGTGTGTAAGCAGCACACAGGATGCCCTGATCCAGGGACATCCTTAAGCACGTACCACAAACTGCGCTTTGAAGGACCTTTTGCCCTCAGACACTAAGTAACTTAAAATTAACTAAACTTTTCATAACTTCTAATAAATAAACCCAAGTTTGGTGGGGTTTTTTTCCACTTCAGGCATATTGTCTGAGCGGGACGGTGACCAGACTGACTGACAAGGATGACAATTCACCCTTCTGTGGTCAGTAGCAGGGCAGAGCTGCAGGAGGTGGGTGAAGCTGCTTCATTCGTTTTCCAGGTTGCTGTGCCTTGACTCCAGAAACACACTATTAGCAAGTTTGAGAAGATAATGACTTTTGTTTAGAAAAATGGTGAGTTTTGTTTCCAAAAATGATCCCTGCAGTCTTTTCAACTCGTGCAAAACAAACACTCGGCAGAGCTCAAACTATGCACTTCTTGGCAGGGGATTTTAACAGAAGCTGAGCCAAGAGCGGCCAGGCTCGGCACCATGCACACACTCCTGGAAGAGGACAGCTCTGCACTTGTGCCTCATGTTTAAAGCATCCACAGAGGAGACATTTCCCTTAAACTATAGGCGTTTGCTTTCAAAATACCACAGAAGTGCTATTTACTATCCCAAGACTGCCAGGACTCGTGCCTTGCGCTAATGGATCCCCTCTGCTCAGACACCTTCAAAGTGAGGGTCTTCATGGCCAACCTCTGTGCGCTCCAGAAAGGGACCAACAGCACAGGGTCCTTCAAGCCCACAACAGCCCATGGAGCTTGGACACCATCCCTGAGCTTCACTCAGGCAGGTACAAACCCATACAGGCGGAAAATACCTGCCTTTGAGTTTTCCAAGGGTCTCCACGATGGCCCTACCAGTAGGAAGGGGACAAGCGCAGTCCCTCCACCCTCAGCTCCTCATTGCACTACACTTCCAGCCCTTCTCACCAGCAGCCAGCCACCAGGGGTGTCTGTGCAGGAAGAGGAGATGTATGACTGTCTAGCTGACAAGATTATGACACTGAATATGCCACTCATTAACGCAAGAGTTTGAGTCCACTTCAGATGTCACATGCTGGAAAAGCAGTTGCTAGAAGTGGCTCAGCCTGCCTTCGTTTGTGGACATCGTTTAAATGACCTGACCTGTGCTTCCGAGTAAAATTCCCCTGTAGCTTTGTAGGGAGGAAAGAGAAATGTCTGAGATTTGACTTGCTAGCTGAAGTAGAATATCAGAGAAAAGGGCATCATATGAAAAATAGGCTGCAGAGTGATGAAGAAGCTGGCTGGGCGTGACAAGGACTAGAACATCACCACACATCCCACACAGGCTCGATTAGGAAGAACCTGCGAGAGCAGCGCACGGCTGCGGTCACCCCAAGGGCAGGCAGAGGGATCCTGCTCGCCACAGCACACGGCAGACACATATCTAATCCGGGGCTCGCCTGACAGGAGAACCTCTATTAAAATGCAAATGTCAGGCACAAACAAAAAGACTTGCCCTCTGTTTTCACTTATTCCTGTCATACAGAGTAACTACTGGTTTTGAGGCTGGGAAGAGATCTACCACCAAGCACGGATTGCAGACGGCCCATGGAGATTCCCAATCAGCTACTCGAGGTTATTCTCTTGAGTTGATGAGCAAAGTACTACATTGTCACAACCCAGATCACTTAATTGAGGTGCAGGGTATCCTCAAGCCCCCTTACTCTATTTCATGCTATTTTTCAAGAATAGAGAAAATGTCAAATAAGGGACCAATTCAAACCATCGAGACCCTTCTGGAAATAACTCGATGAGACAATCTCTACTTAAATAGCATAGACAGCACCTTGCACCTGATCTGCCACAAGTCAAATTAAGTTTAGTGGTTGTTTTTTCATTAATTTTCCCAAATCTATTAATAGCATTACACAGGACTTCTAGTTTGACTATTTGCAACAAGACAGAAGCAGAAGAGAGCTAGGGAGATTGCAAACCCCAGAGCATGACCAGCTGGGATCCTCCTGACAACTACTACGGTTTCACTCACCAGCCACCCAGCTGGAGGGGATGGTGTGAGCACAGAGATCAGGACAGCCACACTCCTACACAGCAATTCCCAAATCCAAAAACACAAGTTCAGGAAGCTGCAGACACAGATTTTTTTAATTTTTTTTTTTACCTGCTCATGATTCCACAACGAATGACATCCTCAGTGATGGTTACAGGTGCAAAAATTTGTGTTCTCGAGAAAAAAGCCAGTTTACTCTGCTTTCCTGCTACTCCAGGCAGCATCCAAGGGCACGGCCAGCAGAAAGCCGCCAGGGAATGGGGTGGCAAGCAGCGATCCTGAAGCTGTTAACTGCAGTGCCAGGAGGAAGGCATTTCAGGAATGCAGACTAAAGCAGCCTAAAAAGTTACCAATGGCTCCGTCAGGTGACTAAAGGAACCTAGATGCAGAGAGAGGCCTTATCTCTGAATGAAACGCTCTGTTTCTAGGACAAAATACAAAAAGCCTACCCTACTTGAGAGCAGTTGTATTTGACAGAGAAAACAGAACTCCCTGTGTTAGTGGAAAGCTATCCTTCCCTGGGAAGAAGGTAAAAAAACACCCGACAAAAAAACCTCAGCTCACACTGTTTGAAAGAAAAAGAACAAGAGAATAACCCTGCTACAGAAGAGATTTTTCTGTCCAGAGGAGTAAAAGCTATCATCCTGCGACACTTTACATGAATACAAAAGCAGGTCTGAAGCTTCCTTTGGCTTATAACATTACCCTCATAAGCAGCACAACAAAACCCATGCACATAATTTACAAAAATGCTGTAGGAACAAAGATCTGTTTGAACTCTCCCTTTGCTCAGCTGCCCTGAGACCCAGCAGCCCCTTCTCGGTGCTTTGCAAACGCTCCTCTACCCGATGTGCTCCTGCAGAAGTTGTTTCTCAGAAAGGTTCCGTTCTCCATCTGATGAACAGACACTTTCTGTGTAAGTTCTACAGACAACGCTAAAAACATTTACTTACTATAAGCTCTTTGAAATGGAATTATAGCAAATCTTCTTAACACGTTATGTAACGGTGCTGAAAATGCTTTTCTTGAGGAGCTCTTAAAAGGAGAGAGTTGTCCCTTAAGCATGTCCCTGCTCACTACAAGATTATATTGTGTCCTATAAGGTAGCTGGCACTGAAGTAGAGGAAAAGCATAATATATGTTTTCTAAAATGCTGCCTTTTTTATTTCTTTTCTCGAAAGGGTGTGACTGGAAAACAGAATTGCTTTGGAGTGTGGTTCCCGAGAAGTCTCATCAGCTCGACTGCACATCACCTCTCAGTATCTTCTCATTCAAACAGGATAGAGATTACTATTTTCTGTCAAGAGCAGCATCTGAGACAGATCAGGCTCCTATTTGTGTCCTGTTTACATGGGCGACAGAAAAAGAGGTGAAGGGTTTTGATAAAGTTTGCAGTAGGATTCATACCTTCCTACGATCAAAACATGGGAAACAAAGCAGCGACAAAAGCGGCAAACTTCAAGTCATCATTATGCAGGGAAACAAAGACTCAGCATATAACGCAGTCATTTCCGCCGGTTCGTTGTGCAGTCCCACATCCAATTCAAAGTTTCGATTCTAATTTTCAACCCTAGCGTCCCTTTTCATGACGAGCTGAAAGAACCATACGTTCCCTGGGACCTTGAAGCTGTTCCCCTCCAAGGTGAGTCTCTTAACTTGCTGAAGGCACAGCATTCTTACCAAAGCTCCTTATCAGAAGCAATCAGAATAAAAGCTAGCCTGACAGGTTTCAGAGCTTGGAGCAATTGAATTGGTCTGTTTGCAAAATAATTCCCCCAATAATAGAAGATTAACAATAAAAATTCCATGTAAAAGGGCAGTTGGACCTAAGGGCATCCAAAAGCCAATTGAACTTTGAGCTAAAAGACTGAGTCTCACAGTTTTATCAGGAACTCAGATTCTGCAGAATGACATTAGAAGGACAAAAAAAAAAAAATAAAAAGGTCTTTTAAACCAAAGCAGAAGGTGAGAGCATAAAAAAATTTTGAATTTAGAATGAAGGAAATTCTACAAGAAGTTAGAATATTTTCTTTAACTTTCAAAAGACTTGAAGTGTAAGTATGGTTGCTTGATTTTACCAGATGGTGCTATCCCACCCAAAATAAAAATGAAACCTTCAAAACTGTGCAATAACATTTTTAATCTAAGCTGCGTGCTAAACAGACTGCAAGTACAAACCATCCCCTTGCTGGAGCCACCCTGAGGACAGATGACAGCCCAAACCCAGGACTCCCAATTGAAACCAAGATTCATTCAGCACTTCCCAAATCCCATTTCCCCTCTGGGACACTCGGTTTGCTGCGGGCACCACACGTGGTTCTCCTCAAACTGGAGCACTTCCAGCTGGTGGTCCTTGTTCTGTGCTAAAGGACCGAGCTACCAAAGGTGCCAAAGCTCTTTGATACACAAAAAGTAACGTTCACATTCTGAAATATTAAAGAAGTCTAAAAGGTGTAAACCTGAGCACCTGATTCAAAAAAACGGAACTTGGGATTCTTACGCATCAAGGAAATTACACGGGAGAGGAAGGTGATCTGAGAACTCCCTTAAATGAAGAGACTTGTGTTGAAGGACTGAGAGGCCAGAGGTGTTACTGTACTGTGGTGATCCTGGACAAACCACAGCCCAATGCCTTGACTACTTTATCTACAGAGTTAAAAAAAAAAACCCAACCAAAACACGCAATTTCCTTACCTCACAGCCCTGTTGCCAG